AGTACTGCTATCACCATTACTACTACCACCACCACCACCACTACTACTACGACTGCTACTAGTACTACTACCACTACTACTGGTATTGTTACTACGAGTATTATTCCAAAGTGAATTCCAGAGGATTCTTCTTGGGATTCCTTCGATTTCGTCTGGGGTTCCAGAGGTATCCCCAGGGACCTTAAGGGTTCTTCATGGACTCGTGAGGATGCCTCGGCCCCACAGGATCTCAGGGGAGATCCCTACAGCGATCCGCGCGTCTTCTTTCCAGCGCTTGCATGAATATCCTTCGGGTGCCGCCCGCGTGCTCCGCACGTGAATCACTCCGTGTGTGTTTCCAGCTTCCTGGTGTTAGTCTTACAATTTCTATCACCACTACTACTACTACTACTACTACTACTACTACTACTACTACTACTACTACTACTACTACTACTACTACTACGACTACTACGACTACTACGACTACTACGACCAGTACTACTACCATTGCAGCTACTAGTACTAGTACTACCACTACTACTGCTACTACTACTCGTACTACTACTACTGCTACTACGATTACTACTATCAGTACTACTGCTACTACAACGACGACTTACTACTACTATCATTACGACTACTGCGACTACGTCTACGATTCTTTCTACTATTGTTGTTGCTGCTAACATTATTATTCTTACTTGTATGATTATTACCACTACTATTACTAGTACAGTTGTTACTACGACTACCACCATTACTACTACGACTGCTACTGCTACCGCCACCGCTACCACCATTAGCATTACTACTACCAGTGCGGTAATTATGAGCACTACTACACGTATCTTCAATGTTTGCAGCACTGATACTACTACACCTACTACGGCTACTACTAGTAGTAGTAGTAGTAGTAGTAGTAGTAGTAGTAGTAGTAGTAGTAGTAGTAGTAATAACAGGTAGTACGAATAGTAGTAGTAGAAGTAGTAGAAGTAGTCGTAGCAGTAGTAGTAGTAGTAGTAGTAGTAGTAGTAGTAGTCGTCGTAGTCGTAGTCGTAGTCGTAGTCGTAGTCGTAGTCGTAGTAGTAGTAGTAGTAGTAGTAGTAGTAGTAGTAGTAGTAGTAGTAGTAGTAGTAGTAGTAGTAGTAGTAGTAGTAGTAGTAGTAGTAGTAGTAGTAGTAGTAGTAGCAGTAGTAGTCGTAGTGGTAAATGTAGTAGTAGTAGTAGTAGTAGTAGTAGTAGTAGTCGTAGTAGTAGTAGTAGTAGTAGTAGTAGTAGCAGTAGTAGCAGTAGCTGCGATTATTACTGCTACTACTACTACTACTGCTGCTACTACTACTACTACTACTACTACTACTACTAGTACTACTACTACTACTACTACTACTACTACTACTACTACTACTACTACTACTACTACTACTACTACTACTACTACTACTACTACTACTACTACTACTACTACTACTACTACTACTACTACTACTACTACTACTACTACTACTACTACTACTACTACTACTACTACCTACCTACCTACCTACCTACCTACCTACCTACCTACCTACCTACCTACCGACCGACCGACCGACCGACCGACCGACCGACCGACCGACCGACCGACCGACCGACCGACCGACCTACCTACCTACCTACCTACCTACCTACCTACCTACCTACTACTACTACTGCTGCTGCTACTACTACTATTAAGACTACTACCGTACTAATTTTCCCAATTGAATCGCAGAGGATTCCTCTGTAATTCCTTCGGCCTCCTCTAGGATTCTGGAGGATTCCCCAGGGATCCTTAAGGATCATGGATTCGCGAGGATGCCTTAGGGATCCCACAGGATCCGAGGGGTGATCCCTACAGAGGAGTATTCAGCATCAAGGTCGCTGCGGTAGCGCGCGCATGGCTTGAGCTCGTGAGAATGCGTGGGCAGCCTGACGCATTCCGAAGGATTACCCAAGGATCTATCTTGATTCCTATACATAGCTGAAGCTCCCGATGCCGACTGCCAGTTGCCGGTTGTTGGGGGGGTGGGGTCGATTTGCGCCACGGGGCTTTGAGCCCGGCTTTCGCAGTATGGCGAGGACCGGAGGAGGCCGTGTGGGTACCATTGGGTTCTGTTGTAGGGCTTGTCCTTGTCGTCGTCGTTGTCGTCGTCGTTATTGTTGTTATTGCTGTTGTTGTTGTTGTTATTGAGTTTCCAGTTCCGAAGGATCATCATTGTTGATCCCCGCGTCCGGTAAACATACAGTATTCTTTTTGGGGCTCGCGCCTTGTTGTCTACAGCGGACAGAGTGGGGTCACCAAACGGTGCCCCTGGCCCTGGGTTTACAACAACAGCGGTTCCCGCCTGATGCTTCCCTACAATTTGTTCCCAAATCGCGCTCTCGCGCGGGTCTTCTTCATCGACTCGAACAGGAGGTCACAGCCTCCCCCAGGAGAGGTCTGGAGACTGGCTCTGAGCGACGCACGTCGAGCGGTCGCGCCAGCCCGTTGTGCCTCCGCTGCCACTTCTCGCGCACTGCTGCCCACTCCCCAGCGCCCCCCCTCCTCCCCTGCTGCTTCTCCCGCTGCCCCTTCCAGCTGGCTCCTGCTGCTGCCCCTCCCTCTGCCCCTCCTCCCTGTTAATTACCGATCATGATGCTGACGACGACGACTTCGACGACGACGACAATGAGGATGAGGATGATGAGGAGGAGGAGGAGGAGGAGAAGGAGGATGATGATGGTGATGATGGTGATGATGGTGATGATGGTGGTGGTGGTGGTTATGATGCTTCCTTGATGATGCTGCTGATGATGATGCTGATGTTGATTATGATGATGCTGCTGCTGATGATGATGATGATGATGACTATGCTGATGCTGCTGATGATGATAATGCTGCTGCTGCTGCTGATGATGATGATGATGATGATGATGATGATGATGATCATGAACATGGTTATGATGCTGATAAGAGTAATGATGCTGCGGATAATGATAAACCTGGTGATCTAGATGAGGATGAGGAAGATGATGTTGCTGATGATAATGATTAAGATGCTGATGCTGATGACGTTGAGGGTGATGGTGATAGTGGTAGTGCTGATGATGGTTGTGGTGGTGATGATGAAGAGGATGAGGATCTAGATGAGGATTGTGATGATGCTGCTGCTGAGGAGGCTGATATTGATGCTGCTGGTGGTGCTGATGTGCTGTGATGGTGAGGGTGATGAGGAGGAAGAGGAGGAGAAGGATGATACTGATGATGATGGTGATGGTGGCGATGATGATGGTGATGATGATGATGATGATGATGATGATGAGGATGAGGATGAGGATGAGGATGAGGATGCTGATGAGGATGATGATGATGATGATGATGCTGCTGCTGGTGATGGTGATGATGCTGCTGCTGCTGATGATGATGCTGACGATGCTGATGATGGTGGTGATGATGATGCTGCTGCTGATGATGATGATGATGATGATGATGGAGGAGGAGGAGCAGGAGGAGGAGAATGAGGAGGAGGAGGAGGAGGAGGAGGAGGAGGAGGAACGCGACAGCTCCTCGTGCCGTCCGCCCCGCTGCCGCAGCACAAAGCGCATGCTGCGTGCGGGTTGTTTCACCCTTATTCGCAGACTTGCTCTGGGGAGACGCAGCCTCGTGCAGTGGCGAGCCCAGCATCATCATCGTCTATCAGCACCCATTGCCTGCGGTGGGGTACGCTGTCGATTTCCTCGGGTGTCCAGTTCCCAACCTTCGCGTCCTTTGGCATTCTCGTTCCTCATTCGGCGGCCCTCCACCTCTTGGGCGTTGCAGTCTCGTGCACCTGCTATGCAGATTCAATTTCTCCGAAAACTTCTCTGGACACACTCTGTGTAGTATGGCTCACAGTGGTATTACGATGCGATCGCGGAGGGATGGAGTGACACGCGCATTAAGGATGCCATCACCAGCAGCACGCGTGAGTACTTGAGCAGCGATGACGTGAGCCATGCTGTGAAACTTGTGCCGCTCTCAGTTTGACGTTGGAGCAACATAATGCCCCTCCCTGTCTTCATCGAGATGCAAACGCGCTTCTGAAGCCAGTTGTCTCAGTCAGAATCATTGGTAGTTGCAGTCTAGGCTAGAGTCAGGGGTGGGACTAGAACTCTCTACAGCAGCCGCGCTCATGACTGAACTGTTGAGCATACTACTTGCGGAACAGGTTTTGATGTGAATCGTAACGCCGTGCGCGAGGCAGTAAATTGGGAACGGCGTTTGTGGTCCATCCGCTATTTGCATGAAGGACAGGCCATCGTGCCCCCCCCCCGCACCCCAATCTCCCTATCAGCCCAAGACTGGTAGTATACAGATGTTGCGCGCACGGGCATCAATTCATATGCATGTTCACGTATGGTGCAGGACGTGCGTGGGCATGCGTCTTGTGTTCCTTGCTCGGCCTGCCTGTAGAGGTCTTTCAAAATCCATCAGGCTTTTGACATTGGTTCGCTGCGAGATCTGGTAAGCTCGCCTCACCGGGGCGGAACAGGCGGGGACTTCGGATGATCCATGCCAGTCCTGGGCCCCCTCCGCAGTGTAGGGAGACAGGTGGATCCAGCAGCGCGGAATCGTGCATCGGAGTGCGAGGAAAATGTGGGCAGCAGGCGCATGCGGCGGAGGCGGACGAGCGTGTGCTGCTCTCGAGAAAGAAAACAGCGGCATACACACATCAGAGGTCCTCGCGGATTTCTCGGATCGGCTTTGGGCTTAGACAATTCATTTATGCAGTTGTTTTCTTCTTTCGACGAACGTGTGCTGCTCGTTCTCGCTGGATGGGAGGAGGCGGGAGGACGGAGAAGGATGGGAGCGATGAGGAGGGAGCAGGAGGTCGGGGGAGGAGGTTGGGGGAGGGGAGGGGTTGGGGGAGGAAGGAGGGGGGAGCAGGAAGTCGGGGGAGGAGGGAGGATGAGGTTAGAGGATAGGCTGATGAACGCGTGCTGATCGCTCTTGCTTGCATGCGCGGGCGCCAGGCGCACATATGGTGCCCCGATGCGTCCCATGCGGCCCGCGCTCGCTGGCCGCTGGGCTGCTGCTGCTGGGCGGCGCCCGGGCCAGGCGGGCGATTCGAGACCCCGCCGCCAATCTTCCCCTAGGAGGAGGAGGAGGAGGAGGAGGAGGAGGAGGAGGAGGAGGAGGAGGAGGAGGAGGAGGAGGAGGAGGAGGAGGAGGAGGAGGGAGGAGGAGGAGGAGGAGGAGGAGGAGGAGGAGGAGGAGGAGGAGGAGGAGGAGGAGGAGGAGGAGGAGGAGGAGGAGGAGGAGGAGGAGGAGGAGGAGGAGGAGGAGGAGGAGGGAGAGAGGAGGAGGAGGAGGAGGAGGAGGAGGAGGAGGAGGAGGAGGAGGAGGGGAGGAGGAGGAGGAGGAGGAGGAGGAGGAGGAGGAGGAGGAGGAGGATGAGGAGGAGGAGGAGGAGGAGGAGGAGGAGGAGGAGGAGGAGGAGGAGGAGGAGGAGGAGGAGGAGGAGGAGGAGGAGGAGGAGGAGAGGGAGGAGGAGAGGGAGGAGGAGGAGGCGCAGGATGATGAGGAAGGGGGTGATGATGCTGATGATGCTGCTGCTGATGATGATGATGACGATGATGATGCTGATGGATGATGATGTGGATGATGACGATGATGCTGATGCTGATGCTGATGCTGATGATGATGATGATGATGCTGATGCTGATGCTGATGCTGCTGATGAGGATGATGATGATGATGTGGATGCTGATTATGATGATGCTGAATAATTTGATGATGATACATATTACGCTGATGATGATCGTGGTGGTGGTGGTGATGCTGATGATGCTGCTGCCGATGCTGCTGATGATGACGATGACGATGCTGCATCTGCTGATGCTGATGATGATGCTGATGATGCTGATGAACATGCTGACGATGATGCTGATCATGCTGACGACGATGATGAGGATGCTGCTGCTGATAATGGTGATGATGGTGATGTGGATGATGATGATGATGCTGCTGGTGGTGATGAGGATGATGATGCTGATGCTCTGATGCCGACGATGCTGCTGATGACGATTCTGATGCTGAGGATGCTGAGGATGATGATGATGCTGATGATGATGCTGCTTTCGCTGTTAGTAATGATGCTGCCGCTGATGACGCTGCTGATGCTGATGATGCTGATGATGATGCTGGTGACGCTGATGATGATGATGATGATGATGATGATGATGATGATGATGATGGTGACGGTGATGCTTCTGATCATGATCATGCTGATGCTGATGGTGGTGGCAATGCTGCTGATGATGGTGATGATGCTGATGCTCATGCTGATGATGATGCTGCTGATGATGATGGTGATGGTGATGCTGATGATGATGATGATGATTATGCTGATGCTGATGGTGATGGTGGTGATGCTGCTGATGATGATGCTGATGCTGCTGATGATGATATTGATGCTGATGCTGACTCTCATGATGACGATGATGCTGATGACGCTGCTGATGATGCTGATGATGGTGATGGTGGCGATGCTGATGCTAATGCTGGTGCTGATGCTGCTGCCGATGATCATGACGATGATGATACTGATGATGATGCTGCTGATGATGATGATGCTAATGATGATGATGATGATGATGATGATGGTGATGATGATGATGCTGACTATGATGATGATGATGATGATGACGATGATGATGATGATGATGATGATGATGAGGATGATGATGATGATGATGATGATGATGATGATGATGCTGCTGCTGATGATGATGATGATGATGCTGAAGCTGCTGCTGCTGATGATGATGATGATGATTATTATCATTATTATTGTGCTGATCACTGCCCACCAAACCACGCCAACCCAACCCGAAGACCCCGAATCGCCATCCATTGCCAGTGAGGAGGGGTCAAGGAACATTGAAACATCCCACATACAGCCTGTATCCCCCAACCCGAAATTCCGAAATTCCGATCTTTGGGTTGGGTTTGGGTGGTTTGGTAGGTAGTCAATTGATGCTGATGATGGTGATGATGATGATGATGATGATGATGATGATGATGAGGGTGATGATGATGATGCTGATGATGATGATGATGATGCTGTTGATGATGCTGATGATGCTGCTGCTGCTGATGATGATGATGATGATGATGGTGACGGTGGCGATGCTGATGCTGATGCTGATGATGCTGCTGCCGATGATGATGATGATGCTGATGATGATGATGATGATGATGATGATGATGATGATGATGATGATGATGAGGATGACGATGCTGACGATGACGATGCTGATGATGATGATGATGATGATGATGATGATGATGATGATGATGATGATGATGGTTATGAGGAGGAGGAGGAGGAGGAGGAGGAGGAGGAGGAGGAGGAGGAGGAGGGTGAGGATTAGGAGGAGAAGGAGGAAGAGGAGGAGTTGGAGGAGGAGGAGGAGGACGAGGAGGAGGAGGAATGGGAGGAGGAGGAGGAGGCGGAGAAGGAGGAGGAGGAGGACAAGGAAGCAAAAGAAGAAATAACCTGATCACAACAGCAATGATAATAATAAGTAGTGAATATTAAGAACACTAATCATATTACGACTAATGAGAACAATACTAATACTACTAAGAGGGACACCATTACGTAACACTGCGAATGCTACTACTAACAATACCAATTCTAAGAGGAATGATGCTAATCATAACCAGCATATTATTACACATCATTTCAAGACAGCTAATACGACTGATAATGCGATTAACAAGAATAAACCACCTATTAATATTACCAGCAAGAAGAAAAGGAGGAAGAAGGGGAGGAGGAGGGGGAGTAGGATTGATGATTCTGCTGCTGATGACGACGAGGAGGAGACGCAGGAAGAGGACGACCAGTGTAAACCCAAGACTCATTAATGATGTTGGAATCCACCCTCCTTCCAAGCTTCCTCTTCATAGGGCCGTGCGTGGGTTCATTTCTACTGAGGCGCTTGCCCCGTGCGGGGCAACCTTGTGAAAACCCAGAAGCGTGCAAACCACCATTCTGAGGACTTCGGCGCCACACGTTGACCTGACTGCTACGTCTTGGCGATCCTGAATCCTGTCAAAACATCATTCCTGATACTTACGCACCGCGAACGAATCAACGTACTTGTTGCGCCCTGACAAATCGTGTACCGTTCCAAAACACTACTTTGGTACGTGGGAATCAGTGACACCCTGACGGATTCTTAAAATGAGCGTGTTTGTGGCGCTGAGGCGAGAGCCACATTTCGAAAGGAGCCGCCTTCAATCCATGGAACTCCTGCAATGCATTCAAACGAACGTGCGCGGCGCTACGTCGAGAGTCAAACTTGGAAAACCACCCGCCTTCAATGTGTGAAACACTAGCAGGCAGATGTTCAAAATGAATGTGCGCGGCGCTAGGGCGAGAGCCACACTTAAAAACCACCCGCCCTCCATCCGTGACGCTGTTGCGAACTTTAAGCTCCCGGATCATAAACTGGCAAGGCAGTCTCATGCGGCACGCCCGGGCCGCCCTTCTGACTGGCCGCGGGTGCGACGCGGAGGAGTTATTCAGAACGAACACCAAGTGAGAAGGAAGACGATGAGGAAGCGGAGGAAGAGGAGGCGCAGGAGGAGGAGGAACACGACGAATAATAATAGTATGCTGAATAATGTGAAGACGTATAAGAACCAGTATCACAACATACTAATGCGAATCAGAAGACTACACCGAAGAAGACGACGCAGTCGAATAATACTATCAATAATATTTAAAATAACATTAACCGTAATACGGATAGTTCTAATGCTGCTGCTAGTGGCCCTCATCATACCATATACTGATACTAATGACATTCGTAATGCTACAAATGCTTGTAATACTATCAACAACACAAAGGCTACTTCCACAACCAGTACAACTAATACATTATGATACTACTAGCATTCATAATACTACTACCACCTAAACTCACACTAAGGCGACTAAGAGGAGGAGGGTGAGGGGACGGGAGGAGAAGTGAGATGATGACGATCAGGATGAGGATGAGGATGATGATGTTGAGGATAAGGATGAGGATGATGATGGTGATTATGATGATTATGTTAGTTATGCTGATGATGCCGATGATGTTTATGCTGCTGATGCTGATGCTGATGATGATGAAGATGCTGATGATGCTGATGCTGATGATGATGGTAATGCTGATGCTGCTTATGATTTTCATAACGACCATTATGCTGATGCTGATGCTGATGATGATGCTGATAACGGTGATGATGCTGATGATGCTGATGCTGATGCTGCTGCTGCGGAGGATGTCGACGCTGCTGCTGATGATAATTATGATGATGCTGATGTTGATGATGATGCTAATTATGATGGTGATGCTGATGATTATGATGATGCTGATGATGCTGATGATGATGTTGATGATGATGAGGATGATAATGATGGTGATGCTGATGATGCTGATGATGCGGCTGCTGCTGCTGATGATGCTGATGGTGCTGATGATGATGATGATTATGATGCTGATGATGATGCTGCTGATGATGATGCTGATGATGATGCTGCTGATGATGATGATGATGCTGACGATGCTGATGATGCTGATGATGATGCTGAAGATGCTGCTGATGATGATGCCGATGATGATGATGATGATGATGATGATGATGATGATGATGATGATGATGATGATGATGATGATCGTGCTGCTGCCGATGATGCTGATGTTGATGATGATGACGATGATGATGCTGATGATGCAAATGATGCTGATGTTGTTGATGTTGATGATTGTGCTGATGCTGACGATGATGATGCTGATGATGATGATGATGATGGAGATGATGATGCTGATGATGCTGATGATGATGTTGATGATGCTGATGCTGATGATGCTGATGATGATGCTGATGCTACTGATGATGATGTTGATGCTGATGATGATGCTGATGATGATGCTGATGATGATGGTGATGATGATGATGCTGATGATGCTGATGATGATGATGATTATCATGATGATGATGATGATGATGATGATGATGATGATGATGATGATGATGATGATGATGATGATGATGATGATGATGATGATGATGATGATGATGATGATGATGATGATGATGATGATGATGATGATGATGATGATGATGATGATGATGATGATGATGATGATGATGATGATGACGATGATGATGCTGATGATGATGATGATGATGATGATGATGATGATGATTGATGATGATGATGATTGATGATGATGATGTGATGATGATGATGATGAGGAGGAGGAGGAGGAGGAGGAGGAGGAGGAGGAGGAGGAGGAGGAGTAAGAGTAGGAGGAGAGAGGAGGAGGAGGAGGAGGAGGAGGAGGAGGAGGAGGAGGAGGAGGAGGAGGAGGAGGAGGAGAGTAATAGGAGGAGTAGGAGGAGGCGGAGGAGGAGGCGGATGCGGAGGCGGAGGCGGAGGCGGAGAGGAGGAGGAGGAGGAGGAGGAGGAGGAGGAGGAGGAGGAGGAGGAGGAGGAGGAGGAGGAGGAGGAGGAGGAGGAGACGGAGGAGGAGGAGGAGGAGGAGGAGGGGGAGGAGGAGGAGGAGGAGGAGGAGGAGGAGGAGGAGGAGGAGGAGGAGGAGGAGGAGGAGGAGGAGGAGGAGGAGGAGACGGAGGAGGAGCAGGAGGAGGAGCAGGAGAGGAGGACGGGAGGAGGAGAAGGAGCAGGAGGAGGAGGACTGGAGGAGGAGGAGGAGGACGGGAGGAGGAGGAGGAGTCGGTGGAGGAGGAGGAGGAGGAGGAGGAGGAGGAGGAGGAGGAGGAGGAGGAGGAGGAGGAGGAGGAGAGGGAGGAGGAGGAGGCGACGGAGGAAGACCGCCGAGGGGACCTGTTCCCCATTTGCCGCCCAGGGTGGCCGCCGAGGCGATCGGTGACTTGGGGCGCGCCGCCCGACAGGGCTCGGTCCGCGGCGCCCATCGGGCGGCGGCCAACGTCGGGAGGGGGGACAGGCGCAGAGGCAGGATGCATCGAGCCCCAATTCGCTCATGGATCGCTGATAGTCGGCGGCGAGCGAGGGGAGGAAACGAGAAGGAGAAGGCCTTCTCAGAAGGCGGCGGGGATTCTAAGAAACGCTCCGGCCTTCTGGGAAGTCTTCTGTGTCCTCGGGAAAGGCTTAGAACGCTTTCGAGCCTTCGGGGGCTTTCGAGCCTTCGGGGGCCTTCGGAGTCCTCAGAAGGCCAGGGGGCTTTCGAGCCTTCGGAGACGGCCCTCCTCTTCTCGCTGCCCCCCCGGGCTCGCCGCCGAAATGGGGGGCCAGACGGCCCACTCCGCCTGGGTGCGTGGGGACTCGCCGTCCGATGCGTCGGCGAGAGCATACTCTTACGTGGCGGGCGCTATCTTGCCATAGAATGCGTGGGTAACGACATACTATAAGATGCTTGTGCTATACGTTCGGTTTGGACGTGTGCAAGGCGTGCGCATGGTACTCGTAGGTCCTTCTGCGTCCCAGTGCAGCAGGGGCTAGGATCCGATCGATCCGATTCCGTGTCGGTTCCAGCAGGCCCGATCCGACTCCGAGATCCCAGCCATCCCACGTGGCCTCTTGCTCGCACGGCGCTGCTGTTCACCACCTACCAAACCACCCCAACCCAACCCGAAGGCCTCAATTTGCCCTCCATTTCCAGTGTGGGGGGGTCGGGGAACGTTGAAACAGCACATGGTGCCCGTACACGCCCCAACCCGAAATTCGGGTCAAATTCGGGTCTTCGGGTTGGGTTGGGGTGGTCTGGTAGGTAGTCAGCTGTGCATCCTTGCGCAGCTGACTCGAGTCGATTTCGGCTCCGCCGATGCAGCCCGATCCGCCGCGCCATCCGATCCGAGTTCCCACTCCGATGCTGACGGATCCCGATGCTCCCGCGCGGCCCCCCGCGCGCGGCAGGTGCTCGCTCTCCGGGGAGGACTGTCGCGGCAGCCGCTGCTGCGCCAGGCCCAACGAGCGCTGCTACGAGAAGGACCTCTGGGGAGGAAGGGGGGGCAGGAAGGCCAGGCGGGGAAGAGGACGAGGGAACGGGTGCTTGACACATCGGGGCGTTGGTTTTTCGCCGGTCTCGGCCTCCAGAGACCCTCGCCGGGCCCTGCCGGCGCCAGCAGGCCAGGCAGTTCGCCCCGCGCCCCTCCGTGCCTGGGACTTCGCGCCTCATTGGTTCGACGTGCCCCACGCCAGATATCACGAGAGCCTGGTCTCGCAGCGGCTCCGCGAGGAGGAGGGCCACGCTCGCTGCGCAGGCGCAGCGTTCGCAGTGGACGTCGAGCCCTGTCCAGAAGACGGCCGTGGAGGAGCCCGCAACTCGAAGAAGAAACAACGCCAGAAGCGTAAACTTTTGGCGCTCCGCGCGGATTTCTTGGATCTGCGCTGGACCCACCTCCCTGGCGCGCGGAGCGCGCCAGGAGCGGCGCCGGAGGCGCCGCCGGGGCGCCTAGCGCAGATCCAAGGAATCTGCGCGGAGCGCCTCAAGTTCATGTTTGTACAGTGAACGGCTTGAATAAGGAACACTTACTCTTCAGAAGGGGCTCGGTCGTTCCTTAGGTTCGCATGCGTTATTTATTGTTCCTTACGCGTTATCTATTATTTATCGTTCCTTATGCGTTATTCCCTGGGAAAAGGGGGCTTCGTTTCTTATTGCGAAGGCCTTGCGGCCGTTGCCGCCGACCCTGAGAGCGACGAAGATGAAAACGAGGGTGGGGCAGGGTGGAGGAGGTGGATGCGAGAGGAGGAGGGGGGAGAAGGATGTGGAGGAGAAACAAGAGGAGGAGAAGGAGGCAGAGGAGAGCAGGAGGAGGGGGAGCAGAGGGGGGGTGGGGGGGAGGAGGAGGAGGAGGAGGAGGAGGAGGAGGAGGAGGAGGAGGAGGAAGAGGAAGAGGAGGAGGCCAGAGGCTTTCTTGGGACAGCCTGTGGCTCTCCTGAGGCCGTCTTGGGCCGTCCAGTGCTCCTCTTGCGCCGTCTCGAGGCACTCTTGGAGGCCTCCTGGGCAATTTGGGGCTCTCCTGGGCTGTCTTGGGGCAGTTTGGGGGCCCCTTGGGAGCCTCTGGGGGCCTCTTGAAGCTTCTTCGGGGCCTCTTGGGGACCTCTCGGGGCTGAGAGCTCGAAATGTCCGTTCGGGCCTCCCGTCTGGGCACTCTCCTGGAGCCGTCTTGGGGGCCTCTTGGGCAGTCTTGGAGGCGTCTTGGGCCGTCTTGGGGCCCTCTTCGGCTGCTAGGGGATCCTCTTGGGGGCCTCTTGGGCCGTCTCGAGGCGATCTTGGGGGCCTCTTGGGCCGTCTTGGCGCGTCGGGAAGCGGAAGACGCAAGAACGCCAACATCTTTCAGAAACGTATGGGCAATCCATGAATTTTACCTCTTGGGGCTCTCGTGAGAAAGCTCCTGGAGGCCTCTTAGGGGCGCTTTGCAGGCCTCTTGGGCCGTCTGAAGGCCGTCAAGGCGTCTAGGACAGATCGTTCGGCGATTCGGGGTTCTCTTGGACTGTCTGTGGGGCCTCTTGGGGCACTCTTGGCCCGTCTTGGGGCTTTTTTGGGCTCCGGGACTCCCAGGGGGGGCGTCGTATCGCCCCCCCCCCCCCCCCCAGGGCGTCTGACCCCCCCCCCCCCGGACCCCCCCTCCCCCCCCTCTGGCTGGGGAGGGATCGAAGAGAAGGGGCTTCCCTTCGACTCGATTGCGACGTTGCTTATTTTTTTCGCTTTGGCTGGCGCGCTGAGGAGGTCCTTGGGAAAAGGGGGAGCTTCGACGAGCCCAGGGAAAGGGGGGAGGCAGGGAAAGGGGACGACAGAGACGACGACCAACGAATGACGGAGATGACGACTCGAACGGACAAGCCCCTCACACACGCCCACAGGGTAGGCGGATTTGTCGTTCCCCAGGTTAGGCCGATGACTGTAGCGCTTTTTCTTCTTCCAGCAACGCCGCCGGCGGCTGCGGCGCCAGCGGCGGCCCCAGCCGTTCGGCCCTCGGCCTCGGCGTCGCAGGGGGCGGCCCGACGGGGGGGGGAATCCCCGGCCTGGGCGGCAGCGGGCCCCCGCCCCCGTCGGCTGGGCAGCGGGCCCCCCCCCTCGGGCTGGCGGCGGGGCCTTCCAGCAGGGCTGCCACTGCGCCGGGCGTGTCCTTCGACAGGAGGACTGCCCACGAGTAGTCAACGGAATAGTCTGGGGACGATTCTTCGAATCTGGTTCGGCCATGTCTGGGTATTAGTTGGCAAATTTCGTCCCTTTCCAGAATCCGCCTGTAGGAGGACGTGCCCGACCGAAGGCTGACAGTGGAACGCACTCTAAGTGTCTCGTTCGCCCCCCAGCGGCAGCGTTGGACGTGGTCTCCATGCAGTGGAGGCCCATGCCAAGAAACACCCTGCTTGCCTCCAGGGTGCCCTGGGTCTCTTAGGTTTCGATGGTTTTGCCATGGAGAGCGCGACGTTCCCATGCCGAAAATCAATGGACTTCCTGGGGTCTCAGGGTTGAGTTTCTTGTGGAAGGTTTCTCGTGGGCTGGCCTCCACTGTACTCAGAGGCTTCGCGGCAACGGCGGCGGGAACGGCATCTTCGGGCCTCCTCGGCCCTGCGTGCGAAGGCCGCGATCCCAGCCGATTGCAGGCGGAGCTGGACTCGGTGAGTGCAGCGGAGGGTGTTGCGTTCGGCAGCAGATCATGGAAGCCTGGTGTACCCTCCGAGGGCGGACAAAAAAACGCTCCTCCGTTGCCGCTCTGTTCGTGCGCCGAGGCTGAGGGCGGTGCGTGCGCGAGCGCTTTGGCGCCCGCGCGCGCGCGGCCTGGCCGCAGGCAGAGCTGCGACAGGGGCACGGTGGGCCACTGGGAGCGGTGCGGGGGGGGGGGTTGGCGGTGAATCATGGGAGCCTGGCGTACCCTGTGAATTTCGTCTTTAGCGTCGCTTAGCGTTGATTAGCGTTTGGGAGTCGATTCGATAGCGCCGATTTAGCGTCGGTTAGCGTCGATTAGCGTCGATTTAGCGTCGATTCGCGTCGATGAGCGTTGATGAGTGTCGAGTCGCGAGATCCGACCAGATGGTGTGGGAGGCTCCCGTGAGTTCCCACCGAATGTTGAGTGAAAGTCCTCGTATTGTTCCCATCCTGTGGCGCATGGTGCGGCCGCACGGCTTGCTCGCGGTCCTCGTGGAGCTTCGTGGTATCCCGGAGGTCTCGGCGTTCGGCTGCGTGGCCGCGGTCCTCGGGGCATTCAGGGGTGAGAGCTTGCTGTATCCATGGCTTCGTCACTGCTCCCGTTCCAGTCCATCACTCCTCCTCCCTCCGCCCTCTCCCCCCCGACTTCCTCGGCGGCGAGCGAGGGGGGGAGGTGAGAAGGAAAAGGCCTTTTCAGCAGGCGGCGGGGCTTCTCGGAAGCCCTCGCGCCTTTTGAGAAGTTTTCTCTGTCTTCAGGGAAAGCTTAGAACACTTCTCAGAAGGCTGGGGGACTTCGGAGCCTCCTGAGAAGGCCCGCCCCTTCTCATTTCCCCCCCTCGCTCGCCGCCGATCCCCTCCCTCCCCGGGAGCTGGCTTCGTGCACCAGGTCTGCATCACAGGGCTTGCTCCGACTGTCGTGCGTGGTGGGCCGTCCAGCCGTCTTGGCCTAGAGCCCCGCCGCCGCCTTCCTGCGCCGTGGCCGCCTCCGCGGGCTAGCCTGCAGTGGTCTGCAGCAAAGCTCTCCTCGCCCCGAGGAGGAAAGGGAGGAAGAAAGAGGACGAGCCGGAGACGGAGCCGGAGTCGGAGTCGGGGTCGGAGTCGGAGTCGGGGTCGGGGTCGGAGTCTGGGTCGGAGTCCGAGCCAGAGTCGGAGTCGGAGTCAGATTCCGGGTCGGGGTCGCGGTCGCGGGGTCGGAGTCGGAGGCGGAGGCGGCGGAGGAGGAGGAGGAGGAGGAGGAGGAGGAGGAGGAGGAGGAGGAGGAGGAGGAGGAGGGGGGAGGAGGAGGAGGGCAGGGAGGAGCAGGAGCAGGAGCAGGAGGAGGAGGAGAGGAGGAGGAGGAGGAGGAGGAGGAGGAGGAGGAGGAGGAGGAAGAGGAGAAGCAGGAGGAGCAGCAGGAGGAGGAGGAGGAGGAGGAGGAGGAGGAGGAGGGTTCTCCCCCTCTCGGGCTCGGGGCCGCGGGCTGGCGGCTCCGCCGCCCCCCCCCCTGCTCCGCGCCCCCCCCCCCCCTGGCAGGACCAGTGGTGGGCCAGCTGCAGGCCGGCTGCCCCCATGCCGCCCTGGTGCGCCGCGAGTCGTCCCCGCGGACCCGCCGGCGTCGCTCCTCGCCGCGGCTCGTCGAACCTCGCCGTCCTCGTCGTCCAGCCTCGTCGTCGTCAGACCTCGCTGTCTTTTTCGGGCATCACTGGCGTTGGTCGTCGTGCTTCGACCTCGCCATCTTCGTCGTCGTCGTCGAAACTTGTCGTCGCCGATCTGCGTCGTCGTCGTCGTTCTCGTGCTCGTTATCCGCCCTGTTCTCGCTGCCCTCGTCGTCTCCTCCTCCTCCGAGGAGGAGGCGGAGGCGGAGGCGGAGGAGGAGGAGGAGGAGGAGGAGGAGGAGGAGGAGGAGGAGGAGGAGGGTGGAGGAGGAGGTGAAGAGGAGGAGGAGGAGGAGGAGGATGAGGAGGAGGCGGAGGCGGAGGAGGCGGAGGAGGAGGAGGAGGAGGGCAGGGCGGAAGAGGAGGAGGAGGAATAATAGCAATACTACAACTCATAATGATACTAATTCTATAATAATGCAAGACGGACCATGCTAATCATACTAGCAATAATAATGCGACGACTGATACTAACATAAACACTACGAACACTACTACGGATACAAGCTGGATACATAAAAGGAGTGCTAATCTTAATAATGCGAATACTATTCATACTACGACGAATAATGCGACGAATAATGGACCAATACTACGACGAATAATGCGTATCATACTAAACATATCCGCAAGGGCTTCGCCTCCTGCCGCCAGCCCCCTCTCTCGGATAATGGGCTATGCAAGAGCTAAATCATGAGGCCTCGGCGCCGCCGTTAAGCAGCATTCGCAAGAGAAATTGAAATTCTGATGACACTATTGAACTCAGTGTTGCATTTTGAACCTGCCCCCTTATGCTGTGCACTGAGGTTTCCCACATAATTTCGGACACGTGGCAAATCCCATAGGTTTTTCGAACCTGACCTTGCTGATCTGAGTGAGGGGTGACGCCGAATTTCAGAAATGTGGCAACTCCAAGTAGTTTTTCGACCCTGACTCCGCCGATCTGCGTGAGGGGTGCTGCCGAATTTCAGAAGAAATGTGGCGCATCCCATTCATTGGTTTTTTGACCCTGACTCCGCCGATCTGCGTGAGGGGTGCCGCCGGATTTCAGAAATGTGGCACAAAATCCCATTGGTTCTTCGACCGTGACTCCGCCGATCTGCGTGAGGGGTGCCGCCGAGTTTCAGAAATGTGGTAAGTCACATGGGTTTTTCGACACTGGCCCCGCCGATCTGCGTGAGAGGTGCCGCTGCATTTCAGAAATGTGGCAAATCCTATTGTTTTTTCGACCCTGACCCCGCCGATCTGCGTGAGGGGTGCCGCCGAATCTTAAAACATGTAGCACGTCCTATTGGTTTTTGGACCCTGACCCCGCCGATCTGCATGAAGGGTGCCGCTGCATTTTAGAAATGTGGCAAATCCTATTCGTTGTTCGACCCTGACTCCGCCGATCTGCGTGAGGGGTGCCACCGAGTTGCAGAAATGTGGCAAATCCCATGGGTTTTTGGACTCTGATCCCGTTGATCTGTATGAGGGGTGCCGCCGGATTTTAGGAATGTGGTAAAACCTATGGGTTTTCGGACCCTGACCTTGCTGATCTGAGTGAGGGGTGCCACCGAATTTCAGAAATGTGGCAACTCCAAATAGTTTTTCGACCTTGACTCCGCCGATCTGCGTGAGGGGTGCCGCTGAGTTTCAGAAATGGGGCACATTCTATGTGTTTTAGGACCCTGACCCCGCCGATCTGCGTGAGGGGTGTCAATTTCGACCCCTCAGGACTTTTGAGACCCCTCCCGGGAGGCGCTAACCAGAGCGGTTTTCGGCTCCCCCCCTTCGCGAGGTCTACAATAAGGAACAGTAAGCAGCATAGAGCAATACTGTAACAGTGGAAGCTGGAAACTGGAACTGGTGCAGGGAACAGCAAACCCTCCTCCTGCAGCCTGGTGGCCCCACATGGGGGCTAGCGCATTAATACTATTAATAAGATTCGTATTGTTCTAATTAATAACAACACTAAAACTACTACTAAGAATAATCATGGATTGGACGCCTTCGGCACCGAGATGGAGCAGGAAGTCAGTCGTACACTCCCAGGTGCCAGGGTTGCGGGCACATAGGGGTTCACAAGCAGTGCGCGGCGCCGCGGCTCTTATTCGGACACCGGGACGGGCCGACACAGAAAAGCGGACCAGGAAGGGCCAGAAACGGGCAAGAGAGTGAGGAACCGAGGAGCGAGAAGGGGCGGGGGAGAGGGAGAGAGGACGACGGGCAAGGACAGACAGGGCCGACAGACGGACGGACGGGGGGACAGGGAGGGGAAGCCAGGCAGGAGGGGAGGGGGAGAGCACACAACGCACAAGGGCAAGGAAGCACGAGGGCAAAAGGGGGCGACACGGAAGGGGAAGGGAGAGGGAAGAAGGGGGAGGAGCCGGGGGCCGGGGCCAAGGCAAGGCAGAAGGCGGGCCGAGAAGCACACCAGACCGACCGCGCAACAAGACAATTGCCGGCGTCCCTCAACTTGGGATTGTCTCTGCGGCGCAACCGGCCGAATCGAAAATCCAATGCGAAATCAGACAATCAGATAATAAGGAATCGGGCGGAGGGGGGAGGAGGAAGGGAGGGAGGGGAGAGGGGCAGCCAGGCTGCCTACACCTCCTCGTGCGCGTCCGTGTCCCGCATGATCTAGCGGACGGCTGTCGGCACGTTGCCCGCCAGCTTCGGGGCTGTCCTCTTCTTGATAGCCCTGGCGGTGCAGCGTGCGACTACCGCCGCCACGCGGGACAGTAACTCTCTCCTGACAGAGGCTGCCTCCCGGCGCTCCTTGGCCGCCACCGCCGCCGCGATGGCCCGGACCGCCGCGTGGGCGGCCGTGGCCATTCCGCCCTGCGCCTCGTGGACGACGGGCCAGAATCGGAAGCCGGCTGCCGTGCACTGCTGCTCGGTGTTCTGGTCTGTCCGCTTCCTCTGGTCATATCTCTCCGCCGCTGCCCCGGGCCCTGCAGCTGTCTCTTGCCAGTGGCCTGCGCCCAGGGCGCTGATAACTGCGAAATCAAAGCACACTGGTTCTGTCCGGATTGCACGAGATCCGTCCGGAAGCTGCCTGGACAACGCCAGCGCGGGGATGCACAGAATGTCTGCCGGCCTCCGCCTGTTGTCTCGCCCGAGCACCTCCTGCAGCACGCGGGGCGCTTCGCTCAGCGGGCGGAGACCGGCGCGCTCGCAGAAGTCGAAGTACACATCTCGCACGCCATTGTGCTGGGCTGTGGCATCTCCTCCAGACATGCACGACAGCGCGTGTAACCCTCCAGAATCCAGCAGCTCGCCGCACAACGGGCATGGCACGTTCCCATCCATGACGTCGACTCCAAGACGAAGGGCGACGGTAGTCGCGAAATCATCTTGCAAAAGGTGCGTGTCAAGCGTACTAATCATTCGAACTAGTAATAATACTAAGAAGACGAAGAAGAAGAGGAGGCCGAGGTGGAGGAGTAGGTGGATAGGAGGAGGAGGAGGAGGAGGAGGAGGAGGAGGAGGAGGAGGAGGAGGAGGAGGAGGAGGAGAGGAGCCAGCGAGCTGAGTGGCCCAGCCTCCCACTTGGCTTGCCGGAATGCTGCGCTCGCCCGTGGCAGTGCTCGCGATCGGTCGCCGGCTAGCCTGTGGAGGAGCCGGGACGGGCGGGCGTCTGGCGCCGCGGGAGCGCGAGCGTGCCGCCAGTATTGACCAATGCCCAGGCCGTGCTGGCTATCAAGGGCAACATTAGAGGGGATATCAGAGGAGGAAAAGATACCCACACCGCTACCCGTCGCCCGTTTTGCCCTTTTTGGGCCTCCTCGGAGGCCCTTGTCGCCACCGCTGGATTCGCCTCGAAATTCTGGTCAGAACGCACCCCAGGAGAGGTCCGGGGAATAGCGGTATCGGTACCTTTTGGTTTCCCCAATCGAGGGCAACGTTGGGGGGGATAGGCTCAGGAGGGGATGCATCGATCCCCAATCACCCATTGATCGCCGACATGTGCCCGATAGTCCACCCTCACCCGGGAACGTGCGGAGTCGCGATAGGGGGCCGATCGCCGATCTTGCATCGCCGATTACAGCTCGATGTTTCCTCCGCCGAGCAAGCTGTGGTTGACACCCCATTCGGCAAATTAGTATGGCCCGCGGGCGACGTAATATCGGGCGTGCGTCTGAGCCGGTGCCGGCGTGCACAGCTCGGCGTGACGCGACTGGGCCGACGATGCCGCTTCTGGGCGGGAGCAGGCGGCGGCAACGGCGGCAGGAACTCCCACCTTTGCCACACCCCCCTCCCTCCTTCCCTCCCTTGGTTTAAGAAAAGTGGTTCAATTAAATGGTTGTTTAAGAGGGTGGCTTGATAAGGTGGTGTGAGGATGTGGTTTAGGAAGGGGCGTGGAGGAGGAGACCGAGAAGATGGGCCTTCCCTTCCGCGCCACGGCGCAATTCTTCCCCAGCCCCGCCGGCGCGCAAGGGGATCCGCATCCGTATCCATGTCAGTATCCCTCCCTTCCTTCCTCGTTTCTTCCCGTCGTCGCCCGTCTGGCCGAGGCCCCCCGTTGTCGGGCGCCCGCTCGAAAAATCACGGCCGCGGCCGTGCTCCGCCTCCTCTGGCAGGTCGGCCCCGTGCCACCGCTCGCCCGAGACCGAGCACGCGCTGCTGCGCGCGCCGAGTGCTCTGTGCTCACCGCCGGCGGACATTGATGGGCCTGGGAGGGGGGAAGGAGGAGGAGGAGGAGGAGGAGGAGGAGGAGGAGGAGGAGGAGGAGGAGGACGAAGAGGACGAAGAGGAGGAGGAGGAGGAGGAGGAGGAGGAAGTATAGGAGGAGGAATAGGAGGAGGAATAGGAGGAGGGAGACCCTCTCCCCCCTCGACTCTTTGTGGTGGCGCTGGAAGAAGTGCCCACCAGGCATTCTCCCGAAGCGCCGCCGCGGGGAAACTGTCCAGCCGCCCCGGGGCCCGGCACCTCCGAGGGCGGCGAAGGCGCTCCTCCGCTGCCGCTCTTCTCGTGCGCCGAGCCGAGGCGCCTCGAGGGCGGCGCATATGCGAGCGCCCGGGGCGCCCCTCGCGCGCGCGGCCCCGCCGCAGGCAGAGCTGCGACAAGGGCACGGTGGGCCACTGGGAGCGGCGCGGGGGGGGTCGGGGGCGGCAAAGAGGGGGGTGATGTATAAAACGACGCGAAGATCGGCGGGACAAAATCGGATCGGGATAACTCGAAATCTCTGAGAATCGGCGGGTTTGGAGGATGTATTGGGGGCCGCGGCCGCTCCAGAGCGTTCCGGAACGCTCTGAGAGCGCTCCGGAACGCTCTGGAGCGATTTATCCCGATCTTAGCCCTGTTTTAGATGTATGGGGGTGTGTGGATATCATGGCGTGGGCCATGATATTTCCCCAGATTTCATGGCGCCTCTTCTTATTTCATCATGTCCCTGGCCCCCCCCCCCCGTGTGGCCGCGCGCATGCCGCCGGCCATGATTCGCACCCCCCCCTCGTGGACACCCCCCTCTTCGCCGCCCCCTAGGGGGGGTTGGTGGTGAGTCGTGGGAGCCTGGCGTACCTTGTGAATTTCGTCCTTCGCGTGAAGTCGGGCCTGTCCCTCTACAGGAGGAATATTCAAAGGTAGTCGAAACATGGTCTGGGGACGATTTTGTGATTATATGTTTGATTTTTTTGTTTAGATACGTTTGACTTTTTAGTTTAGAAAAGCATTGGATTGGTAATTGTTCGTCCAAATCCGTCTGTAGGAGGACATGTCCGACCTACCTTTAGGGTCGCTTAGCGTCGATTAGCGTCTAGGAGTGGAGTGGATGAGATAGCGCCGATTTAGCGTCGGCTGGCGTCGATTAGCGTCGATGAGCGTCGATGAGCGTCGATTTAGCGTCGATTAGCATCGGTTAGCGTCGATCCGCAAGAGCCGACAAGATGGTATGGGAGGCTCGCATGAGTTGCCACCGAAGGGGGGGGCAGGCCAGAGGCCGATCATGCCGCCGTCGCCGCCGCCACCTGGTTCGGCGGCGCGCGAGCAGGGGATCCGTCAGCCCGTGGCCACTTGGGCGACGGAGGAACGCGGATTCGGTTGCGCGCGGGCATGCGCGCGCAAGCTGCCCGCGCAAGGTCACGCGTGAGCGCCCTCGTTTTCAATGCAGCGTGCCTCGCTGGCGGG